CAATTCCCATCACCTGTCGATGGTATTCTAATCTACTGTGACACGACCAAACCAATTCCGCGACCTTTCGTTCCCAAAAGTATGCGAAAGTTGATATATAATAACTTTCATTCTTTGTCTCATCCTGGCGCAAAAGCTTCAACTAAACTAATCAATGCCAGATATATATGGCCGAATTTACAGAAGGATGTACACAAATGGGTTAGAGAGTGTTCCTATGGGTCCCCTTAGTTGTACATCGTTGTCTTTTGATTACGTTTGAATTGTTAGTACTTGTATTTTTTATTATAGTTTTGTTTTTCTTACGTATTCACTAAGTTGTGTTTCTTCCCGAACTGCATCTGTGTTGTTTTACTTGACACTTGTTCCTGGCGGTAGCCATATTGATTCGCTCCTCCTTTTGTGTGTGTTCTATCCAGTCAGGATAGAATAACGTTCATTTGTTGTGACTGGTAATTTTCCCTCATCTTTCATCAACTCCTTTATTTATTGTAATTTAGATTTTATTGATTGAACAATTATTGGTTGAATAGCCGGGTGCTAATATTTGTTTAGGTAACGATTTACATTTAAATTTGTGATGAATTATAGAACCGCTATTTATCCGATTACTTGTTTTGATTTCGACGGGCAAGGGCGCGTGTCTAACGTACCCAGACGGTTATTCTTCAACATCCAAACCGTGGTTTGGATTCTACAACAGGTATTCAGTGTTTTACAACGCCTTTATTAGTAACACCTAATATAACTCGTAACTACCAAAAGAAATCAAAAGACAGAATCGAGGAGATCAGAAGTTGTATTGGACGGTTCCCAATATATCGGACTTATCTTATCTAACCTGGCTAGCGATTGCAGTGGCATTTGAGCACGGCGTTCCCATACGTGATCGGATGTGGATACATGACCAAGCGCCTTCAGCTGGGTGAGTCCATCAAAACGTTTGGTCAGCATCCAATGTCGAAAACTTACAGGGCTATTTATTTTGGGGAATTATTTAACGCTACACCAACATTGGGCGTCCGCGATCTCGCACTCAGCTCCACTCACGAACGACTAGATTCTAGATAACCGGGCTGGCATTCAACGCTGTTAACGTCTAACTTCTTTCAATCTATGATCTTGTTCAACCCTTCGACAATTGTTTGGCTTGGATAACTTATTCATACTCGACACGGATGCGCATTTTCGAGGAGACCAATATTTATAAAAGACAGTCGTCCAGTGCTTCGACGTTTTCAATGATTGTAACAGGAAATTTGACTAGCTGACTGTATCCCTATTTCTATTTTTGTTTCTGATTGTTTTGTCATAAAACACTACTGTCTATACTCCTTACCAGTGTGATATTTGTAGTTCTGGAAAAATGACAAATTGTAATGCTTCGTAATTTAATGCCTGAATCTTAAAATATTATACCCTTTTTGATTTTATCTGTCTGTTTTATATCGTCAAATTCTAAATTAACTATGAGACAGAATTATTCAGTTCTGTTTATCTACATTTACTGATGTGTGTGATTCCCACCTTACCATTATAGCGGCAGGTTTTTGATAAACATTGGTGCCTGTTATCGATGGTTTGCAAAACCGTCTGTATAGACGACTGTTGCCTGTTTTCGATATCTTATTGAGAAACACTGTGGTGTTCAAAGTGACAACAGACCGAGAACTCAAATCACGTCTATTAATTTGCAATTGGACGATGCCCATATCACCGCTGAATGTAGTCCTACTGCGTCATTACGTATTTAGCTCAAGGCAGTTATAAGCACTTTCATATGTAGCAGTATTCGATCGCCCTTTCACTTGACTAGCCGAATGTTCAGATTTTTGTCAGTGACATATGGTTGAGGAATAATTGCCTATACTCTGGCTAGTCAGGTAATAGTTGTCGTATGCCACAGGACCGTTGACACAGCTCTGCTAGATAGACAGTTTGGTAGCTGCGTGTTTACCTACCTCTCCCTGAGCTTGAAATCATTTACCTCTGACTCTTCTAATCATTAACTTCTTTGCTTAGTTTCTGGATCATCCTGTCTCATAAAAAACATCTTTAAATTTGGGAAATGCGATGACGTCAGCAGTACTGGGACAAATTAGATGTGTGCTTGAGGGTCTCTGTTCTAATTTCTGGACGGGTCAGTCAATTCACTCTTTGCCGTTATTCTGTGTATCTCTCATTTTGACCGATGTTAGAAAGATATGGGACAAACGTTTAGAAGTCTGAAGTAAAATCACAATCTCACTTATAGTCCTGTGCTCACTCAATAACCTGTCTACACACACTTATTTCGGGATGTTTGTCTGACGAACTTATCGCATTGAAGTTAGACGCTTCTGTTTTGGTTGAGCATATCTGTTTACGTATGTGAATAGTGGCCCGTACATATTTAACTATCAATTAATATACGCTCATTCATTCATCCCTACTGTTCTCTCAGTCCCTTAGATAGAAAGAATTGTCGCTTTAGATTGATCTTATGTAACAGTACTTTGTGGTGTAACGTGGTTTTATGGTACAGCGAGCGAGCCTAATTGCAAAGACGTCTAACTGTATAAGCAGTACGATGTTAACCTGAATGTGTTAGTGATAAGAACCATTCACGTCAGTGCTGTGATATAATTTTCGCTTTCATATGGTCAAGCCACACCACCTCGATGATATTTCCACATCAACCTCGATTGATGTCCACTGTATTTCGACAGACATTCAGCGTATAGTGGTAAACCGCATGAGGTAGAACACATTCAGCTCGAGAAATAATCTGTCTAGAGTTTAGGGTTACTCCGCTGTCATTATACATATATATATAATTGGTTCGACTGAAAGCTCACGAGAGCTCCACCCGTCACAGTCAACAGAACATGAATGTTTTCGTGACGGATCGTTAACTCATGCTATTTCGGTGCAAGGGAATCAAAATTTCCACAACGCCAGTGGTTAATAGGAGAGCAGTCACCTTCAGGGCTTAGACGAACTCCGTCTTCTTCAAAGACTGGAGTGAAGAGTTCCATCCTTCGTCTACCTAGGCCTACACCTTGGTGATTTTATCGCCAGAACTACATACTAACTATTTGAGCAGAACTAAAGCCACATCTTTCAGCATGATGATATTGGTTTTATTCAGTTCAACGGAGGTATGGTTCTTCATACGATGTAATTCTGGATGCGCCAGTTTACTATCGGGATTTCCTCCAGATTGTTGTTGAGTTGGTTCAGAGACACTGATCGATATAAGCTGTAATTCTGTACATCAATTGTTATCTAAACCGTTTCTTAAGGTGAGAGTTAAACTCAATGTAAATTACGTCAAACAAGTAATTACCGGAAGAAGGGAGAATAGAAACAACGTGCTTCCCATCAAATCACATGGATAAAGATACCGTGAAATGTGTGCATGGGCAAGCCACGAAATCATTTCGAGGATTCAAATTCAATCCTCGTAAGGAGCAGTGAAATTTTATTCATTAGAGCATGAGCATCTTGGACGTGGCCGTTGAGTGACATCACACTAATTTTCAAAAGAAGGAGTCATTCTTGTATAAGCAACCTGCTGATTGTGGTAGACAGATGCACGACCATCCTGAATCTCAAGAGAAAGCTGGACGCCGTTCACCTTGACTTCTTAAAAGCTTTTGATAGGGTCAGTCATATATGTCTTATCAATAAACCCAAACGATTGAGCATCGTATCAACACTAATTGATTGGAACACTCCGTATCTAAAAAATCGACATTTCGATGTCAGGGCTAACTTCACTTTCTTACAGTCTATGGAATGCCATAGTGTGGTCCTCCAGGGCTCATTACCAGAACCTATTCTTTTCCTGATTTATACAAATGATATTCCAGAACAGCTGTCGACAGACTTATTACTTTTTGATGATGATGTGAAACCTCGGAGAGAGATATGCAACCGGGAGGATATACTGGCATTTCAGGAGGATCTGACCCGACTTCAAAGTTGGTCAGACGATAACGGACTTATCTTTAACACTTCAAAGTGTAAAGTAGTCCACCTACAGCATAATGCAGACTACAGTTACAACTTAGGAAACTCCTTTCCAGAAGTATCCCAAGTCGAAAAAGATTTAAGAGTGCTGTTACCGCACGATTTGAAGACTGACGCTAACTGTGACAAAAATGCCTTTCGAGCAAACCTTGCATTGGCAACAGTGAAGTGCATTTTTGGCCAATTTGACGGAAGAACGTTCCACATAATCTTCAACAGTTTTATTCGTCCCCATTTAGAGTATGGAAACATAGTATTTACTCCCTCACTCCAAAAGGATAAGGACACTCTGGGGCGAAACCAACGGACAGACACGAAATCAGTTCGGGAACTCAAATCCAAGCGGTATGAATAGCACCGCTAATCACCAAACGTTTATCCATTAGAGTATAGGCGTCTTAGAAGTGACCTTCTAGTCGCTTACTGTATCTTTAACAATTCTGGACATCCCCTCAAACACCTATTGAGTTTAGCTTCAACACAAAATTAAGGGGCAACACTAAGAAACTGGAGACACAATCTAGCGGAACGAACTATAAACACAACTTCTTCTCCTTAAGAGTTGTCAAATGCTGGAGTTCGCAAACTCAAACGACTTCACAGGAGTTCTATAAGAAGCGACTTGACCTATTCTTAAGCACAAAAGATAATATCTTACTATGAGTTACCGATTTCCTTTTTTCCCTCTATTATCGTTAACATATCTAGGTTCCTGCCTGGAGGTATTGTTGATCCTCTCCTAGTAGACACGGAAGCCCGTTAAGCGAAAGCTTCTTCTGTTTCGTCCACAGCCACTTGATGCTTGTTTTGTTTTTAAATATACATAGTTAGATACCTGAAGTATTTGGTGATCCTCTGCTGTTGAATAAGGGAAATAACTAAGCAAGTGACTCTACTATTCTCACCTTAATCAATTAAAAGCACTACTACGATAAGACACTGAAACGTTTTGCGGCGGTAACTTTAGAAACACAAGGTCATTCCGGATGTTAATGACTGCGAAAGAAACTCAGGATGACGTAGGTATGGTTGCATCTGTCATCAAAATAAGCACTCGTCAGTAATTGTTTTTCACATTATATGTCGAATTTTAGCTGGACCGAGAGCGATGCTGCAATTTCAAGTAAGCACACAATCTCCCAATTTCGGGGGAAATGTCCAGTTTTGGGGAAACAGCTATAGGAAACTTTGAAAAAACCCCAAAAAATACCCAAAATAGGAAGATTGTGCATGTTTGTTCAGGGTGGAACTTGAGTTCCCCGCTGTTCAGGCTCAAAATGTCATTGTTGATATTCATAACATATTTGAGTGTGAAAAGTGAACTGGATGATTTTAGTCTCGTTCATGCATCTAACTTAAAACGTGTACAGCACGTAAATATCCTTAGGGCAATTATGATCCAAGTCATTCACTTTAAATTCCACGGTTTTTACGAATTTTGTGTTTAGAAAACAAAGACCTGGTGTAGGCTTCAGTATTATGATCGAAACGACGGGGATTTGTTAAAGATTCGGTAAATCACGCCGCAGATTCATACATCAGCTAGCTTTGTCTCCAGGTCATGTGTCTAAAAACTTAACTGAGGAAAATGTCTCACGCTGTTCCAAAACTTCGATACAACGTAATCACTGTCTTATATATGTGCAAATGTCTGTTTGTAGACATTAGATAGTTTGTTGTGATCTATTCGTTCCTTGGCATTGCGCCCCCAGGGGTCGTTCATTATTATGCTTCCATTAAAAAATTGATATCGAGCATAACCAGTACACCTGTTTTGTCGTGGTTGTCTTTGATAAGCTCCTAATCATCACGAACTGAAATATTGACCAATGAAAGATGATCTGTCTGCAAGCTTCCTTTTGTCTACTGCTTCTGAGTAAGCTGAAGTGTTTGTTTGTCACGTTTCTTATACTGAATGGTTAGTCATATCCAGTGTTAAATCTGACACTTGTATATCTAATCGAGTTGCCACATCGCACCAGCACAGTGAGATGAAATTGTCGAGAGTAGTAAAAGAAGTAACATTATCAGTAGTAGTCAAACAAATTAGCAACAAAAATGTGATCCAAGGGAAAAAAGTAGCTTACGTACTATGAGGTAATTTAAAAACTCAGGAATTAAATGCGAGAAAAATATAAATGCAACTCCACCATTGCAACCGATTTTGAGCCACGTCACCAAACACTTTGTTTACGGTAATCGCATGTACCCCAACAAGGTAATCTGCACCTACCGGTATTCCACAAATTTTTCATAGCTGTGTAATGAATCAGAGTCAGCAGAGCAAATAGTTACTGATTTATACATGACTTCTCTAATTTTCATAGTATTGAGGAATGATTTTTTAAGAAGTATACATAATCAGTGAATTGGAGTTCTAAGTGAATTAGTGTCAGACATGGTCTCAAAATACTAAACTGTCCAACGTTCAAGATCTTTTCAGGAAGTTCATAATCAAAGCAGTGAAACTTGATTCGGCATAAGTGTTTTTCATTCGACTTCGCATAGTTAAATTTTGCGCTAGTTTAAGCAACTGACTAGTGTCATCATATCTGATTCATGAAACGGGCTTGAAGTTGAGTACATAAATATATACTTCGATCTCCATCTCGAAATGCTCTCACATGGCCACGCGTATATAGCCTGTTACAGGGAAGTCCTAATCACTGCCTTCTTGCACAACGAGTGTTGTTTACAAAATTGAGAGGACGAAAAGCAAATGTCCGGCATCGGCTTTAACCGGGTTGGTGGACATAGAGAGTCTACCTAGGGGAGTTGGAAAACCCTTATTCCAAACCAATGATGCACATGGGCTACAGCGTCCTGAAGGAGCAACTGGCGTATGAACCAATCGTTGGTCACCAGCTACCATGGGACTGCATCTCGTTACGTTGCGCCACTGCTTTGTGGATCAGACCTTCAGGTCGAGGGCTCCGGGTGTGGTCCCCTAAGAAAACCACCTGCTTCGGTTTGAGCACCCGGACAGTATCACAGCCCTCACATATATCAAATGAGATCTGTGTGGCGCATATGCATTTGGTGCTTCCTTGTACCAATATCTATGTGTTAAAATGAAATAATTTTATTTATCTGATACACAATTGTAATCTTCAAAAAGAATATTCTTCATTATGCATATTTTCAGATTGGGAAACAACTCATAACTGTATTCACAAATTATTATGTGGTGTTCATTCAACTGAAGAGATTAAACATTCCATCGAAAATCTATTCAACAAGTTTTTACTTTCGAAATCTGACAATTCAAGTAAACATCTATATATAGATCATTTTAATGATAACAATAAGTTTATGGATTCTTCCAAAGAGAGTATTTTACTTTTATGGAATTACATCCATATAGACGATATTGCATTATACAAGTATGTTATTAAATAGAGATCGTTTTCGGTTGTTTTAAAACATAATAGTTTATTCTTTTATTAGATCTAAATTACATTTCCGAACGTCTTTTAGTCGTTTTGTCCAATAATGATCTGGATCATGTCAATTGGTCTCATATTCTTCAATTGATATCTGTTATGATTACATGTATTAAAGGAGGTGTGTCCACTGTTAAATGTAAGTTTGTTTCATGTAATACATGTATATATTTGTATATTTGTATATGCAGAATGGTGACTTAATTAATAAATTGCAAGTAAACTATGATGTTCAATGTCTGAGTTATTGAAATATCCTGTTTTCAACAATCATTAACAGGTTCATATACTTCTCTCTTTCTCTCTCTCTTTTTGCTTCGGTCTAAACAACTGAGTGCTTTTATACACACAAAATATGATACAAATGCTAATATATAAGTTTGTAATTAGTTATGAAGTCACAATTATCTAAATTATTTTAGTTTACAACAGTATAAGGGGAAAGTGCTTTCTGATAAAAAGTAAAGTAAATTTTATAGGATCTCATAATAGAATTACATTGGTCTAAGTCTTGTCATACTACTTTAGAATAATGGGGATGGACTGAATAATATAAATAGTGAAGGAGTTAAACTCGTAGTAATAGTAGTATCAATGGCACAAAGAAGGGTCAAATATAGTGAATATCATTTTTATTAGAAGGATGAGAATCACGAACTAAAGTATTACGCGTCGTGGTAATCGGTGTTCAGGCGTACGTAATACGTGGCCCAACCATCTCAATCGATGAAGATTCACAACCTCATCAACTGATTTACCATCATTTCCTAATACCTTGCATCTAACCTCACTATCACTTGTCCGGTGATCCTAGCAGTTAGGTGATCAAAAATGTTTATACAGAGTATAGTTTTCGTTTAAGTTACAAATGATTGATCACGTTACGTATCAGACAATACTCAAGCCTACAAGCTCCACATGTATATTTTTTCATTCTACAAGTTATAGTAAGGCTTGGTGGCGTGGATTTGAATTCCACTGGGTGGATCATTTCCTTCATCATCTCACTTGCGCCGACTTACACAAAGCCTGTGTTCATGATGAACTAAAGCAATAGAGATATAAATAAGTTTACGGAAAAGTTCATAGAAGGAGACAGTTATACTTACTCATTTGCTAAGGTGCTCCGTCATCAATAATTGTGTCCAATGATATCTTAGGGCAGATCCCAAAACTTTATTAGCCTTTGTAAACTTGAGTCACTTGTGACGTATGTAAGGTTTCCATCTTCCAATCGAAGAGCTAGCATACTTCTCAGGATTTCTTTTCGTGTTACTGTATGGCTGTGAAACATGGTGTTGTAAATGTGAAAATATTAGAAGCTACAGGTTTACGAACATATGCATATTCAAAGTATTGCTTGTGTATGGTTAGAAAACTGAAGGAGCAGTGTTTAGGCAAAGATAAGGAACTTGTAAAAGCCGACAAATTGGTTGACAAGGTTGCAAATCTTGATCAATTGAAGTGATTAAGACACTACTTGGTTATCTTCAGTCCGATCACCCCAATCAATGGTTGGAGACGTTGAGTCACATAGCTCAGACTCGATCACAACGGTACAGATGCACTTACTTTGTTTTACTGTAGATCTCGAATTTTAGTATCCCTCCATATTTACTATAACATTTTGCCATTTTCCAACCATAGTCTTGATCTTCAATGTTTCTCATTCTCATTAATATTATTATTATTATTCTTTTCCAGTTATAATTCATCAACTTCTAATGTCATTATTCAATTCAAATATGAATTATATCAACAATGATAATGTTGATTTAGATTGTTTACATTTATTAGATGATGTATTTATTCATAAAAGTCAATTGAATGTTTTAACATCAATTAAACATGATAAACAATTATTGATAGGAGTTTTATTAATTGCACGTCAATTATGCTCAGAAGATAATCGATTAACTGGGATAAATTATAAACAATGGTGGATGGAAACATTTTGTAATCCATTACTATCAACACATAATAATAATAGTAATAATAATACACAGAATGTACTTTCATCACGTTGTGCTGTAGTTTATTTTTGTGATTTACTCATTGAACTATTACCTTGGGAAACTGTTGGGATATTCAGGAAAATATCCCAGAAATTATCCTGTTAAGCCTAATGCTATCCTTGGACATGAAATGGTATCATCTTATTGGTCAATATTTATTTAACGTGTTATTTTCCTGTTGGCCATTATTGTACAATGTTATCTTCTATTTTATGGTACGTTGTGGACTGCTTGAGTGGTATATAAACAAAGCATGTTTGAAATATAATGATTCATAAATCCGAGGCTGTGACTTCGTTCTGGACTCAACTGGCTGAGTTAGACAGGGAAGCGAGACCAATCAGAACCCTAGGTCGTTCTACGTGTTTGTGCGTCTTTGGTCCGATCAATAATTCGCTATCCCTTAATCATCAGCAAATATTTTTCACGTTATAACAGAAACCGATCCAAAATTTCTACAAATTCAAGTCAACACTCGACCTAATTGGTTTAATCTTGTAAAAAGATCAATGAATAATAATCGAATCAAAATTCATACTGATAAAATTCGTGTAAAACCGACTGAAGTAATTGTGTCATTCAATGAAGATGAGTTAATAATCCCGATTGATTTGGAATGTACAAATATGATAACTGATAGTAATAATCATAATCATAATACCTACATAGAATCTTGTATAAATCGATGGAATGATTATTGTGAAATTGCACAAGGACGGTTAGCTGAATTAAGGGTAAGATCGAATAATTCTTGGTTAGATGATACAATGATTATGTATGTTAATCACGTTAGCACTTATCCTTTCAAATGTACTAGACCTATCCTATATTATGTTTTACTAAACCAAACCTCGGGATTTCAATGACAGTTTCGATTGGTTATTTGTCTGTCTTTATTTCAATCCTTATCAAATGCTTGTCAGTCAGTCAGTCAGCTACAACGTGGGACCAGGCACATATATGCATTGGTCCATGTTGCTATACCGCGCAGTATAATTGTCCTTTAATTGATAGACGGATATCTTGCCTTCGCCATAGGTGACGTATGATGGCAAAAGCCAAACGACCTTTTTGAATCTGTGCTGAGATTTCGTCAGACAGCAACTCATTAAGGATGATCAGACCTGTAGTAAACAATCGTTGCACAGATTACACATCATTTGTTAATCAAGATTAAATTGTTTAGTTTTTAGTTCTGATAAAAGCTTATTGATCAAAGATGATTATACAGAGTATGTTCTTCGTTAAAGTTACAAATGATCGATCATGTTAAGTATCAGATAATGCTCAAGCCTACAAGCTCCACATGTGTATTTTTTCATTCCTTAAGTTTCGATGAGGCTTAGTGGCGCGGGTTTGAATTCCACTGGGTGGATCATTTCTTTCAACATCTCACTTACCCCTTTATAATTAGTGCCGACTAACATGAAGCATGTGTTCAGGGTTTCCTACCAACTGCCCTCAATCATTATCAGTAATTTTTGATGTGTATCTATATATTGCTGCATTGCGGTAACTTAAATCAATAAATAAGATTTTTTGAAATTTCTTCCAGGAACACTGTTGTGCAACAAAAATGGTCACAACGGTTAAAAAAATCTCTGATTGTCCAGATGCTTATACTACTCCAGGATGGAGTGATGTTCTAAATTGGCTAAATGAAATCGCGATACAACGTACTGTTGATTATTGTAGTGGTGATATTTCTAAATGTCGATTACCGTCCAATTGTCTACCATCATGTTAGATATTCGGCATTGTTCAGTAACTGTAGTCTGCTGACCACATTTCAACTAAAGACTAAACAACCATAACATTATAAAGTGACCACTTAATACAAAAGTTAACTATTTTATTGATTTATTGCTTTGTTGTTGGGGATGGGGGACAACAGTCCACGTTGGCTTCGATCTACACTGATTCCAGCTTTATTAAATGCACCTGAAATAGAACATTTATCAGCTGAGTTAAAATTTGCACGTGAACAATTATTACAGGGGATACGGTCAGCTGGTTTATCACATTTATTGAATCATACAGAAGAGAAAACCTCTACCACAAAGACGACTACAAAAGCAACAACAACAACGAAGAGGAAGAAGAAACGACCAACGTGTACTACATAACGATCTTCAACATCTAAACAATACAGAATTTCTACTTAAAGCGAATTCTACAATGAAAGAAATAAAAATTAATAGCCGTATAATTAATACTTAAAACGAACTAGATAAAAAAGCTGAAAAGATTGAGAGAGGATATGTAAAAATACAGTAACTGATAACTTTATTATTCTTATTCTTATTATTATTATCATCACAATAATAAATAGAACAGATACAATAAATGAACAAATTTACGCTGAATGAACCTTTCTATGAACTGAGTAAACTGACAATGTTTAGTAGCTTGTTATAATTGAGAGTATTTAGTGACTGTGTATACTTCAACAATAAGAGTAATACTGTAAATGAAAGTAAAATATGTCAATGAGATCGTTTATTGTGAGTATACAGTTGTGGAGATTGTTGAATTTCAATAAATTCACGAACCAATCAGAGTTAGACAATCATTGGAGCTCCTCAGCAATGCACATCCACTAATCTTCAAAGAAGTCATACATTGAGATGGTGGAGATTTGTAGCTTAGGTGGATGATTTTGATGGAGTTTTGTTCTCTGAGCTGGATGGTTTGATCGTGGACCTTTCATCGTTCTTCTGAACGACATCATCAGCACAAACTTTATATAGAAGTGAAGTTTGTGCCGATGATGTCTCTGTATGTCGGTGTATTTTTAATTGCAAAACACTAATTGATCTTCACGTTCAAACGAATGGATGATTACAGTGAAAGTTACTGGATTTTAGAAAAGAAACTGGCTTATGGCTGAATAGGGATCGTGGATGCGCACTGCTGTGGAGTTCCATAATAGGAGGAAACGGTCGTCCAGTGCTTCCAGGTTTTCAATGGTGGTGTAACATCAATCGGTTCGTGATGTCAACTATAAACTTAGCATTTTTCACAACCCCTAGACTGATAATTACCATGTGCTCACTAGTGACTATCTTCGTGAGAAAATTCTCGGAGTTCTGTTTAGAGGCCGTGACTATTGGGGCTTATCCGTGTCGGGTAGACACAGATATCTACCTCAGTACAATGGAAGATGGTCGCGCAATTTTCGTGGATTGGTTGAGGTTAAACATTAACGCCGTTGGATGCCGGCCGAGTGGTTTAGTAGGTTAGGCGTTCGCGCACGAGACTAAAGGCCGTGGGTTCGATTCCCGCGAGTGGGATCAGGAATGAGCACTGCTGAGCAGTTCCATAATAAGACGAAATGGCTGTCTAGTGCTTCCAGGTGTTCAATGCTGGTCTAACATCAATCGGTTCATGATCTCAATCAAAACTTTTATTTTCGTTCAAGGTACGTTTTTGCGTAAGTCTTTGGTTAGTGGTCCTATCTGAGGCAATACGAACGTCTCTAAACTTCGTAAGCGCACAGATTAGCCGTTCAGATCCTTTAAACTGTTTAGCTAATATATGAGAATGGAATCTGAACAAGACTGGGCACGAGTATTTCTAGTGCACTTTATTAATTGGAATGCATTGGCATGGACTGTCTTGAAGGTTAGATGATTATTTCTTGTTTCAGATCATCATGCTTTGATAAGTAGTTAAACCGTTTCAGTGATTTCTATAAAACGATACACAGGACGTGATGTGGATTATAGCATTAGGATGATTAACCACAGTCTCATAGTCCGATATGCACAGAACGCAATAACTAGTTGGATATCAGAGAATCAGAATAGGTTATAGGCCATCCAACAAAGGACGTGAAAACTAGGTGGTTCTTTAAAATCGGTCACTTAACCCATTTGAATTTAGATGGTAAATGATCACAGCGTTTATTCTTGGCTGGAGTCAGACCGTCTCTGAATTGACAGACAAAAGATCACTTTTTTTCTAAGAAAATTAGTGATCTTTTGTGAAATGAGAATTTCTTTCATCTTTGTTTCATGGGTATGTGTAGGTGTACGTGACTGTCAGTTATATTAACAGCTTATTATAAGAAAGCTGTTCCTTTGAATTTCTTTTTAGAAAAGTGGCATTCTTTTGTGAAATGAGAATTTCTCTCATCTCTGTTTTGTGTGTATGACTTATTGTCGGACCGATATTACTCCGCCTATACAAAGTAGAGTATAGAGAATATCATATTATTTGATTAATGAGACACAATGAGGTGATAGACGACAACAAATTATGATCTTTGATATTTTAATAAACAACTGAAGTTATCAGGAATATGCTTGTTAATTAAACGCTAGATTATTTACAGTGAGAGAACTTTCAATTAGCGGTATAGAAATATCAGATTATATACCTCAATAGCTAAAAGAATACTGCATACCGATGAGTTCATCTATCACGATAATTAATAAATAATGATCATATCATTCTATAACATTCAATCGTCTTGATGGTCACATTGAATCATCTAATCAGAAAGGAACAAACAAACACTTGCAAAATGTATATAAACACGACAATTTCTGGAAAAATTTAATAACGTTTTGAACAATACGATGAGGTGAGTACTGAATGCTTTGCCAAGGTAAATGAGATTTTGACATAAATTTTAATTTCATTCAATGAGATATTGTTGTTCTGTTCACCTGACCCATTGCAGGTATACCTTTTCATCTGACCAGTTGATAGCGCTCTATTCAATCATCGTTTTACTTTCGACATTTTGTGACTTTAAGGACATTTGTAAAGATCCCGCAGTAGAGGAAAATGAAGAAGTAATCCTTCAAAGTAATGCATATAAATATGTAAGTCGTCAGTCATGTTCCAACACACATATTCAGTCACATTTTTATCACTATTCTCAAATTATTCGTGCCAATCAGACTCTCCCAGTTGATGATGGCAAGTTTGAGGAATTGGTTACTGAAAAGGTGAGTTTACTATATATTATGATGGAGGTGCTAATCTACGTCTGTTCATTATCAGAAAATTCCTCCACAGTTTTCGTTTAAAGTTTACGGTGTTGACGTCAGCTCAATCATCATACATACCTATGGTGAGAGAATCATTTTCTTTGAAGTAAAATTGTTATTGAGTTTTGTTTATTCACACGTCATTCCTTGGATCAAAGTTGTTCTATGTTCCTTAGTAAAACAGTTTTATACTTTTTCTAACATTCAAAACTTCTGCTGATATCTTATTTTGTTTAATTTGTAAATCGTTTGATGCATTGTAGTAAACTAGTTGCGGTTCATGAAATTCGTTTTAGTCTCAAGATTGTTTCGTAGTCTTTCATTCGTTCACTGTTGATCATCAATCCAATTGCATATTTTCATTCAATAAACAGGTACAATTAGTTTTGGCGGAGAAACGATCATTGGATCAACTGAACATCTTGTAAATCTAACACGACCAACTGAATCTGAGTTTTTGGAAGCAAGTGAGTTATTGTGTGTTCTTATTTATCAGGTTTTGTTTGCATAAATTATTCACTATTTATTTTGATTATTTCATGAGAGCTGACCAGTACACAGTGATTATTTTGTTTTTGCGATCTGATACCCTAAAATATGTTTACAACACGTTTTCATCACTGTCAAGTGATATTCTTAAATAAAACAGCAACACACTTCAAAATAAACACAAATCGATAGAGTGGAAATAATATGTCGAATGATGTGATAACGGGAGTGGAAATCCTCTATTCTTCATTCTGTTCAAACTACCATAAAACAGATATCTCGTCAATACGACACATCTTGGAAGATTCAATGAATTGAACTGATCACAGATACAACAATAAACGCTGATGTGCGAGAAATCAGTTTGCATTGATTAGGCACATGAACTATCAAATTATTTTAGATTTCCTTCAAATCTTTTCTGTCATTTACATGGTTCAGATAAGTTTATTGTCCGTTAATCATTATCTGTAGACCATTGGATATTCAACACTTTTCTGATTATCACGTTTGTGTGATCATGAGGTTTGAACTCATTTTCATTTTCAAACATCAAATCAACGAACAAACATGAACAGTCAGATAGTACAACATAAGTAATTTGAACCAGAACACCTAGACCATCAAAATGAAGTTCATTCATTGTGTTTAGTTATCGGAATGAATGACAATTGAGTAACATATCTGTATAATAAATAGTTTTGAACTGAGAGAACATTGTTCCATTGGAACGACAGAGTTTCCAGAAATGATTTCGCATACGTATTGCCGTATAGATATTACCACTATTTTAGTTAGTCGAAAGCTTTTAAGATCAACGTTTCAGAAGTGAAATATTCTTCTCAATTGGTTGGATTCAAACGTTCATCACATCGTTGAAATAATAACAAGAATCCTTGAAATTATCATTTAATTTAACCGGTGCAAAGTCATTCTGTGTTGAAATATGTTTATTAAAAGAAATGGACATTCATAACTCAGGAGCATAAACGCGAATTTCTCTTGTTTTATTATTTCAGAGGAATATTTTGCTGTCAGATATTCTTATCATCAGGAAATTGATGGTGAAAGTATGCTTTCATAAAATGACTGTTTGATCATATGTGAAATATTTAAACTTACACCATCATTCATTGTATTCACTTACACTTTAGTTGAATTCTTTACAAAAACTGACAGTAGTAATAAAGTGTAGCTACTCTGGAAAATCAGGGTAAAACTATATATGCAAATCCATTGATCGTTTGAACACGTTGGTCGAGACCTAAAAGACAGTTGACACAATCAGGAACATACTAGATTTGATGAGTAACAAATAGATCAATATGGATAAATTAGGTCATAATCTCATTTCACTTTTAGATAAACGAGTGCGGAGATACATTTTCATCAACAGACTTCGATGGAACTTGTTTAAATGATGATTAGTCTAAAGCAATCCAGTTTTTCATCTTTATCAAACACTGATATGCCTATATGTTGCATAAACAACTCAAATACCAAGTGGTGTTTGTATGCGAACACTTGACAGCTCATGTCATCTGTACTTATGATGGATTGTTCCATGGATATTTAAGGGGAATATTGTAACAATGTGAAGATCTCTTCAACAAACTGATCTAATTAGAAGCCTGATA